ACCCTCTGTTCAACGAGAACTGCCAGGAAACATAAACGCGTGCGACGTGATCAGAGCAGCGCCGAAACGTGATTCAATGTTAATGCGGTATCGTTGATTAAATATTATTAATATTATTACGCGATAATGCGAATAAGGGTGCAAATGAAAGTGTAAATTAAGGTATCGAGTCGTCGGATCGTGTTACGGTTGACGACGCAGGAAAACGTGTGGAACATCTTGTTCAAGTTATCGAACACAAATTTTTGCAATCGTGGATCACGATATTGAAAATTATACTACGAAGTAGCTAAAATTGAGAAGAGCCGCTGGAATAAATAGTTCTTCTTTCTCTTCCTTTTAAATTGCGTCTGCAATTTAAACTTCAGCCACATTTACTCCGAAAATTATTAATTGTGAAACGAAGATTATTTCCACAATTTATGTGTTTTCATATTTGCGGATCTATTTACTTAAGGTAATAATTTTGCAATATTTACTTCGGAAATTATTAATTGTGAAACGAAGATTATTTCCACAATTTATGTGTTTTCATATTTGCGGATCTATTTACTTAAGGTAATAATTTTGCAATATTTACTTCGGAAATTATTAATTGTGAAACGAAGATTATTTCCACAATTTATGTGTTTTCATATTTGCGGATCTATTTACTTAAGGTAATAATTTTGCAATATTTACTTCGGAAATTATTAATTGTGAAACGAAGATTATTTCCACAATTTATGTGTTTTCATATTTGCGGATCTATTTACTTAAGGTAATAATTTTGCAATATTTACTTCGGAAATTATTAATTGTGAAACGAAGATTATTTCCACAATTTATGTGTTTTCATATTTGCGGATCTATTTACTTAAGGTAATAATTTTGCAATATTTACTTCGGAAATTATTAATTGTGAAACGAAGATTATTTCCACAATTTATGTGTTTTCATATTTGCGGATCTATTTACTTAAGGTAATAATTTTGCAATATTTACTTCGGAAATTATTAATTGTGAAACGAAGATTATTTCCACAATTTATGTGTTTTCATATTTGCGGATCTATTTACTTAAGGTAATAATTTTGCAATATTTACTTCGGAAATTATTAATTGTGAAACGAAGATTATTTCCACAATTTATGTGTTTTCATATTTGCGGATCTATTTACTTAAGGTAATAATTTTGCAATATTTACTTCGGAAATTATTAATTGTGAAACGAAGATTATTTCCACAATTTATGTGTTTTCATATTTGCGGATCTATTTACTTAAGGTAATAATTTTGCAATATTTACTTCGGAAATTATTAATTGTGAAACGAAGATTATTTCCACAATTTATGTGTTTTCATATTTGCGGATCTATTTACTTAAGGTAATAATTTTGCAATATTTACTTCGGAAATTATTAATTGTGAAACGAAGATTATTTCCACAATTTATGTGTTTTCATATTTGCGGATCTATTTACTTAAGGTAATAATTTTGCAATATTTACTTCGGAAATTATTAATTGTGAAACGAAGATTATTTCCACAATTTATGTGTTTTCATATTTGCGGATCTATTTACTTAAGGTAATAATTTTGCAATATTTACTTCGGAAATTATTAATTGTGAAACGAAGATTATTTCCACAATTTATGTGTTTTCATATTTGCGGATCTATTTACTTAAGGTAATAATTTTGCAATATTTACTTCGGAAATTATTAATTGTGAAACGAAGATTATTTCCACAATTTATGTGTTTTCATATTTGCGGATCTATTTACTTAAGGTAATAATTTTGCAATATTTACTTCGGAAATTATTAATTGTGAAACGAAGATTATTTCCACAATTTATGTGTTTTCATATTTGCGGATCTATTTACTTAAGGTAATAATTTTGCAATATTTACTTCGGAAATTATTAATTGTGAAACGAAGATTATTTCCACAATTTATGTGTTTTCATATTTGCGGATCTATTTACTTAAGGTAATAATTTTGCAATATTTACTTCGGAAATTATTAATTGTGAAACGAAGATTATTTCCACAATTTATGTGTTTTCATATTTGCGGATCTATTTACTTAAGGTAATAATTTTGCAATATTTACTTCGGAAATTATTAATTGTGAAACGAAGATTATTTCCACAATTTATGTGTTTTCATATTTGCGGATCTATTTACTTAAGGTAATAATTTTGCAATATTTACTTCGGAAATTATTAATTGTGAAACGAAGATTATTTCCACAATTTATGTGTTTTCATATTTGCGGATCTATTTACTTAAGGTAATAATTTTGCAATATTTACTTCGGAAATTATTAATTGTGAAACGAAGATTATTTCCACAATTTATGTGTTTTCATATTTGCGGATCTATTTACTTAAGGTAATAATTTTGCAATATTTACTTCGGAAATTATTAATTGTGAAACGAAGATTATTTCCACAATTTATGTGTTTTCATATTTGCGGATCTATTTACTTAAGGTAATAATTTTGCAATATTTACTTCGGAAATTATTAATTGTGAAACGAAGATTATTTCCACAATTTATGTGTTTTCATATTTGCGGATCTATTTACTTAAGGTAATAATTTTGCAATATTTACTTCGGAAATTATTAATTGTGAAACGAAGATTATTTCCACAATTTATGTGTTTTCATATTTGCGGATCTATTTACTTAAGGTAATAATTTTGCAATATTTACTTCGGAAATTATTAATTGTGAAACGAAGATTATTTCCACAATTTATGTGTTTTCATATTTGCGGATCTATTTACTTAAGGTAATAATTTTGCAATATTTACTTCGGAAATTATTAATTGTGAAACGAAGATTATTTCCACAATTTATGTGTTTTCATATTTGCGGATCTATTTACTTAAGGTAATAATTTTGCAATATTTACTTCGGAAATTATTAATTGTGAAACGAAGATTATTTCCACAATTTATGTGTTTTCATATTTGCGGATCTATTTACTTAAGGTAATAATTTTGCAATATTTACTTCGGAAATTATTAATTGTGAAACGAAGATTATTTCCACAATTTATGTGTTTTCATATTTGCGGATCTATTTACTTAAGGTAATAATTTTGCAATATTTACTTCGGAAATTATTAATTGTGAAACGAAGATTATTTCCACAATTTATGTGTTTTCATATTTGCGGATCTATTTACTTAAGGTAATAATTTTGCAATATTTACTTCGGAAATTATTAATTGTGAAACGAAGATTATTTCCACAATTTATGTGTTTTCATATTTGCGGATCTATTTACTTAAGGTAATAATTTTGCAATATTTACTTCGGAAATTATTAATTGTGAAACGAAGATTATTTCCACAATTTATGTGTTTTCATATTTGCGGATCTATTTACTTAAGGTAATAATTTTGCAATATTTACTTCGGAAATTATTAATTGTGAAACGAAGATTATTTCCACAATTTATGTGTTTTCATATTTGCGGATCTATTTACTTAAGGTAATAATTTTGCAATATTTACTTCGGAAATTATTAATTGTGAAACGAAGATTATTTCCACAATTTATGTGTTTTCATATTTGCGGATCTATTTACTTAAGGTAATAATTTTGCAATATTTACTTCGGAAATTATTAATTGTGAAACGAAGATTATTTCCACAATTTATGTGTTTTCATATTTGCGGATCTATTTACTTAAGGTAATAATTTTGCAATATTTACTTCGGAAATTATTAATTGTGAAACGAAGATTATTTCCACAATTTATGTGTTTTCATATTTGCGGATCTATTTACTTAAGGTAATAATTTTGCAATATTTACTTCGGAAATTATTAATTGTGAAACGAAGATTATTTCCACAATTTATGTGTTTTCATATTTGCGGATCTATTTACTTAAGGTAATAATTTTGCAATATTTACTTCGGAAATTATTAATTGTGAAACGAAGATTATTTCCACAATTTATGTGTTTTCATATTTGCGGATCTATTTACTTAAGGTAATAATTTTGCAATATTTACTTCGGAAATTATTAATTGTGAAACGAAGATTATTTCCACAATTTATGTGTTTTCATATTTGCGGATCTATTTACTTAAGGTAATAATTTTGCAATATTTACTTCGGAAATTATTAATTGTGAAACGAAGATTATTTCCACAATTTATGTGTTTTCATATTTGCGGATCTATTTACTTAAGGTAATAATTTTGCAATATTTACTTCGGAAATTATTAATTGTGAAACGAAGATTATTTCCACAATTTATGTGTTTTCATATTTGCGGATCTATTTACTTAAGGTAATAATTTTGCAATATTTACTTCGGAAATTATTAATTGTGAAACGAAGATTACTTCCACAATTTATGTGTTTTCACGTTTGCGGATCTATTTACTTAAGGTAATAATTTTGCAATATTTTGCCAAACATTAGTTCATCTCGATTCGAATTTATTTGTATGCATAGACTACAGGCCAACGCTTAAGTTACGAATAACTTGGCATTTTTAACTTTCAACTCTGTCGTAGAATCGGATACCATCGACGAGTTTCAATATTTGACTTTTTTAATCAGCCATCGAGAAGAACTAGGGCAATTACACGCATATATTAGATACTTAAAAGATCTGTTCTAGTTTTCGCAGTGCTGAATAAAATAAGACATTTTGAATATAATAAGTCATCATTGTCTTCAGGAATGCGGAGCACAACGGCAACCGTCGTAAATAATGGGGAATTAGCATGAAAAAGGTAAGCGCGCATAAACGATAGAAAAACGAAGAAAATGAAACGAAAATTTCATAGCAAATGAAAACAGTGATAAAAGATGCACGTAAGTGAATCTAAGGAGTTGTGTCCAATACGGCTCAATCTTTCAATTATAAGCTACCGTTTATTTCGCGAAGCAACCATTAGAGATCGTTCTAGAATGGCTGGTATGAGAATCGCTCTAATTTGTTCACAGACTGTACTAATGTCTCATAAAAGTAATATGAAAAACTTACCGTCCGCCAATAACAGGTGTTCGTAATTCCATCGCCTCTTCTGAACACCTACGTCCAGTTAAGTTTCCGCACAAAACACAAGTACACAAACGAAAGCACAAACAGACGCAAAGACAAAGACAATTGTGAAGCAAATGTATAGAGAGTGAAACAAAAGGAAAGTCTGAATATTCTTAGAGCTTATTTCGATCGATTGAACTGATCATCTTTTTTTCAGAACTTCCGCGAGATCAATCGTAACTTTGACATTCTGTAACAGCGTTGCGAACGTTTCGGGAACAGCTTATAATTGCAGAATCAAGTATTATCAAACGTCCAGGCGAAGGAGCTTTCTTTCTCGTTACTCTAATCTACGGACTAAAAAAAGAAAAGGCCGCGCGTGTTTGGGAAGAGTAAGCGTCGAAGTAAACGGACCGAGTTCGACGTTTCGAAAACTACGTTCGACAAAGTTGAAACTTAAATGAAATAAAACGAGATTGGAAATCCAGTTTTCCCTTTTTCTTTTTCTTTTTCTTTTTTTCTTTTTCTAGCACAGATGCGATGTTTACAGGTTTGCCGGATAAATGTGCAGAAACGTGGAGAGAAATATTGACGTCGAGAACGAAAATAAAGGTAACAGAAATATATTGAATCTAAAATCCACCCTCGACGAGGGACAGGGAGAAGGTATGAAAAGAGAAAAAGACAACAAATAAGACGGAATAACGAGAGAGTTCGACGAATGATTACGCGAACGGGGTGGGGGAGGGGGCGGCTTCATGATTGTAACTGAATTTATTACGGTAGACGGAGATCCGAGATAATTAAAACGGCGAGCACTCGTAAATGCCAAGTGGAAGCCGATATTGTAACGAGCATGGATAAGTATTCGTCGTTTGAAAATTCAATTTACGAGAATCTTGCAAAAAATTCTGTCTCGTTCCCGTAAATCCCAGTTTCGTTTGAATGCAACGTGCCCTATGGAGCAGCGAAAATGATTGATAAGTCGACGACGGATTGTCGAAAATATTCGAGGAGGTTTGGTAATGTTTTTCAGCGTTTCAAAAAAATTCCGTCGATTTCGAATGCAGACTGAGGCGAAAAATAAATATTTTCTGCGAACGCGATTATTTAATTTCCCGATCTACATTAGGCAGTCGTTGGAGATCCCATGGATCTTTAAGGATCGCCGAGAGGTATTTGGAATTAATGAGAACCTTCAGCACACTCGTATGCTCCTGCAAGCAGTTTGAGTAGCGACAAGATGGCCGTGTCAGACATGCTTCAACCCTTTGCACTCCGCTGTCCCCTCTCGTGGGACGTCGTAATTCTAGCATATTACGGGGAATTGAGTTATTTCAGCGCAACTTTTTGAGACACGCATGTTTCCCCGAAGTTTTCTCTTGAAATGGCACAAGAGATCAAATCAAAATATAGTAAAATTACTAAGATATATACAAGAAATGTCAGCGGGTTTTGACGAGAACGCGAGAGGCGTGCTCACGACGGTCCGAACACTTCGAAGGCGCCACTTGAAAAGAGCGATAAGGCAAGTTTGTAGAAGAAAGATCGGTATGCGAACATAGCACGCACTGTATAGTGAGATTTATAATCATAAAATCTGGAGGAAAAGATTTTCAAAGCTGAACTCAGTCTGGTTCGAAGCGTCGAGCGGTATAGATAGATCTAACGAGTGAGAAAATCGGAAAAGCGATTCTTCTCTTGGTAAATAAATTGTTTGGTAAAAGTTTTTTTGGTAAATATCATCTTGTGAGTTAGTAATAACAATTAGAAATTTTCAACCTATGTATTTATTCATATTTTTTATTAGAACAATGGCAAAACGTTCAAACACGAATGAGTCTCATGACACAAGTGGTAGCGAAGATGAGCTCCAGATAGACGTTTATACAGATA